GCTGCAATCGGTTACGCAAGTAAAAAACAACTACAGTAGAGGGTATACTGGCAGAATGTTTGTACTAGTTGCCACTGGACGGTTTATTGACTGGTCGCATTATTTCATGCAGTTCCAAACCAGATCCAAGTAGCAATATGATCAATTTGAAACTTCATCAGTCAAAATGCAGATATTAATTACGTTTCATGAACATCCACTTTATTCATATATTTGTTTGTTCTGTTCAAAATTACGTAAAATAGATCTGAACAATTGCACTACTCGGTAATTCTTCATGAGATTCGTATCCATTTTATCATGTTTGACTAAATTTTTTCTAATAAGTCGCTTTTTTATGGCATTTCGAGGCTAGGAAAATAACCTGTTTAGTTTTTTAACTTGCCTACTCCCCCTGATAAAAGATTCCTTTAGCAGACTCCTTGATCCGTCTGATTTAATGATAACGTTTTGTAAACCATGTTCTTAATAGCCATTCCCATTCTGAACATTAACTGTCGGCTCTTAAAGAAGTCGGACACTGAGACAATATGCGTTGTTTCATCTATATGATTAATCTTCCCCGGTTGTCACCCTAACAGGTTACTGGCCTAACTGTCGGATGTTGTCCCGTCCGTATGCGATAAATCACAATCACATAGTCCGACGTACTTTAGCTTGTTTTATCTACTCCATTCGGGACTGAGCACTGGTTGATTATGTGTAAGAAACGGCAACTATTATGTTTTAATGCAGACAGACCGTCAATGTCTAGATTTAAGCAAGACTTGATGTTAATATGATAAATATTAGAATGTCAGATGTTTGGCTACAACATTCACTACCTTTGAATAAATTAATTGTATCCAAATTTACCGACTTGCACTGTGTCTTCGCACAAAATGGTTGGCAATTTTGAAACATATGGGTACATTTCGGGGAGGCTAGTCGTTGTTCACTTAAACGAGTAGCCATGGAGGCGTTTGGAGATGCGCAACAAGTGCTATCCTACGATAATCCTTACTCCCCAAAAACTCAGCCAATTTGAACACTATTTGATACTTGATGAGCCTCGCAAAAATGCGTGAAAAATCAGTTAGTTTGCATGATTCAGAAATTTTGATACGCATCCAGTTTCTTTCGGACAGCATGATTGTATCCAGACTCTACTCATTCAAGATTACATATATTTTATATGGTTTGTTAAGTCAAACAAACACATAACGGGCATTTTCCTCAAAGACCCGAAACACTGGACATTCTTTAAGCTGTGTAAAGTATTCGGTTTGGAGACATCGCTCTGTTTTATCCCGGATCTCGATAACTCAGCCCTCGTGGGCTAATCAACTGCCAAGCTGATCTCGCCGCTTTGCTGTGTATTATCTAAATTTTACTAACGTCTTATCATGTGTGCTAGTAGGCACCTGAATTTGAAATGCAGCCTCAGACATGTGAGGACGAAAAATATGCACGAGTCTACTTCGCCCGCACACTGGACATTTGAACAATGTTGACAATATGATGGATTCACACCATATATTGACGGTAGCTAGCTCCGGTCACGCAATTTGTGATCCAATTGTTTGGGAAACCAGACGACCTTGTTGCAATTGTTTGTGCACAATTACCACTCCTAGTGTCCGCTTCACAACAACACAGCAATTATCATGTCACGGCGGTTGTTGATGAACAAGTATGCAACCAAATTTCCAAACCTGGCGGAAAACTCAACCACGAGCACACCACATTTCAGTGCGCGCCCTCCTTTTTGTCAGCATATGATGATGGACACCTTGATCACATGTAAAGCCAATCAGTTAACTTCGGTTGTCATGCCCTTTTGAGTAGGAATGACAGCATTTGCAATCTATAAGTGTGACATTCCTTTGCTTTAGATGTCACATTTTAGGTTCCATCACTAGATAGGTTATGAGAGTAAGAGTACCTGACATGCTCGTAACACCTCTGTACAATTGTTCGCCATATGCTGATGAAGCTTGAAGGACAGTTGCTTGTTCATATTTTAATGTTGGCTGTGGGCTTTCGCAGTAAACCACCCAGAGACTGATTCTCAGACGGTAATCACTGGAATGCTAGGTCAAAACAGATAGTATGGTTATGAAGCAGATTCCATGCAAGTGCGTAGCGCTACGCACAACTACGTACTGATGATGTCAACTCGACTGGTGATGAAACGTTGGCAATCAAATTGCTCAGCTCAGCGAACAAGCCAGCGACCATCTACGCTACCTGAGCTACCGACATTCTCCTTTATAGGGCTGTTTAAGGCTCGGTGCCTCAAAGTAACATCTTTGAAAATCAGTGTCTTTTCCATCCTTTCTATTGGTAAGTCTCAAACCATCTACGTACCTGAGCTACCGACATTCTCCTTTATAGGGCTGTTTAAGGCTCGGTGCCTCAAAGTAACATCTTTGAAAATCAGTGTCTTTTCCATCCTTTCTATTGGTAAGTCTCAAATCATCATGCTTAGGGCACTTTGCTCAACCGCGGTTGCAAACATCTCAAGACCTTTTAAAACACCGGAAGGAGCCAGTAATCTCACCCACTTTTCTCCAAATATACGAGTTGGTTGTGGTTGGAGTTGTTGTATTTCCTCTCCTCTATTACAGTTAAATATGGTCGTTAACTTTCTTTCTTACCACTAAAGCTGGGTAATCAGCTGTTTAAAATCGTGTGATGATATGCAAATGGGGTCAAATCTAATGTTTGCAAAAGATGTGAGATAGCCTAAGCCTGAGAAATAACACTTGACAAGTTCCTCCAGAAGACCTTGCTAAATCCGACTGAAGGTTTGCAGAACTAAATTCTTTTGCATTTTTTGCTTCCTTCGTTGTAGACAAAGTTAACAAGTTAACAAGTTAACAAGGCCAAAATTAGCACCCGGCTATTTTCAAGGACATGCAGATTATGATATTCCAGGTTCGCAGAATACAGTACAGCACTTGGTGAAATAAACCATAAGTGTCCTTTTTTAATTTTGCAATCTTGTTACCCAGTCATTACTGCCAAAAGTTTCTCCAAACAATGATTGTTAACAGCAATCATAGAGCATTTGTCCTTAAGATATGAGATTATTCCTGGGCTGAACTGTCAGTATATGACATACCGTGTGGCAGACTAAAATTAACCTGACTGACTGAAAGAGATTTTGTCTTCTAATTTAGGTCTTTCTTCCTATTTGTGTTTCGGAAACGCTGATCTATCATTGTTGTAGCTGATGCGTACTGAGGTGATTGACAGTTATTAACTTATCTTGGCTGACGTAACCGCATATTTCTACGTAAATGCCGGACAGGTAGTAGGAAAAACCCATATGGAGTGCTGACCTAACTACCTGGTGAACCAACGCAAAAGGTTATGTGGTTTTGTGGCTACTGTTGTATTAAGCTAGTTTGCCACTTTCGGTTTGGAATTACAAAGCCATGGCGAAATAATGAGAAGATTACCGAACACATTTAGCTTCATGTCCACCACCTGGTGGCTAGGGGCGATTTCTAATTTCTCACAAACCTGTTCACTTCACCGGAAAACAAACGGATTTTTAAATTACGGGAAGTAGATTATGGCCGACATCCATCCTTACACTTTTTGCATATATAACCACCTTTGCACTAAAGTGTCTTTTTCGACTTGGGTACACTGGTTTTCACTAGCATCTCAGAAAGCAGTCGACGGGTTCTGACGTCCTCTTTGACCGATGGTTACCTTCCAGTGAATATACCCTAAAATGGCGCAATGTTTTGCTCTCTCAAGGCCAAACAACCAGTTTAGTGATAAAATAAAGAAAACTTCGACTCAGAACAACGAGTGAGGTTAAAAAGTGTTTTTTAATAGTCATATTCCAAGGAAGTGATCTCATTTACTCAAACACACTGAGCCATAAGTTTCCCGACCACCATGACGGATTGATGGGCTTTCTTAAGCAAACTGAGCCACTCTTGGCTTACCTGATTAGCGGTATCCATTAGTTGTGCAGTGAATTAACGCCCTCTTCATTTTGTCATAAGTTGGAAAGCATAAGACAACCTAAAGTGCAGGACACTGATGCTACGTTGCCGATGTTTGTGTCACATAGCTGATGCAGATAATAGCAAAACGGGTACGGGTTTGGCAGGGAATATCCCACTGTTATCGAAAATGACCGACCAAAATTCGTGAACACATTTTACTTTAATTACTGGGCACCGAGAAAACAAATGTTACGATGTATGTTTTCACAATCGAATAATTTACAAGGTTAACTTTAGCATATCTCAAAACTAAGCGGATAGTTCTGGATTTTCAGAGACACAGCTGACGGTTAAACCAAACCAACGCATTCAAAAAATGTCACCAAACAGTGATTTTTATCTAGTAAGTAAAATGTCACAAACACTGGAGAAACCTCTCTACTATGAGTCAAAAACAAATGTCAGTCAATACATTCTGTGTAATTCAGTATGAAAGTAACGGTGTGAACTTGGAATGCGTCCTGACTTTAACATTCATCGGAAATCAGTTTCATCTGGGAGGTTTTCTTCCAGTAGAAGCTACAATAAATACTAAACTAATAAGAGAAATAGGTTTATTTTTGAACATTTTGTGCTAAGATTAATTTGTTTGTGGTGGCCTTCACTGTCAATGGTTGCATTCCGCAGTTCTTCTGAATTTTCGGAAATTGGCTAGGTTGAGCTAGTAAGGGCGAACTTTTATTGGACCCAACTAGAAGGATTCGTTCTGAAAAAACCCCTCCTTACCACCTTTCAATTTCTACACCGTTAAACTCTAGTGCGTGATAACAATTACAGGATTACGTTTACAAAAATCCTTAATTTCTTAATTTGGCGTCAAGTAGGCGGTATATTACGTCATTCCTGAGAACCCCTCACGTCGGAATGCTCCAATAAAACCCATGGTCTCAAAAGTCAATATCCTTGTAAAGACTGGTAAGAATTTCCGACCAACAACCATATTTCTCTAGAGAAGAATTCCTAATTGATATGAAACATTGAGTAACTCACTTCACTTGAGGACTCGGTATTCCTGTCCGTCAAAGCTCTGGTAAGTGGCCTAGTTGGAACCGATGGTGAGCCACCATTGAAGTATACGGACTGCATTTGGCATGTTATATCCGCTACTTCACGACGCATTTCCTCGACGCTTGGCATTTGTACAACCAAGCAGCATCTATCCACGGTTGCAACTGGTGCTTCGATTTCTGCCTCCGCTTTGTCACCGCCACCAGACATGGGTTTGTTAAACTCCATTACTGGTGACACTCTTATAAATGATGTGTTCTTCACCTGAAAAATCTCCAAAGAAAGACGCGGTATCAGTTTTTTCGAAGACACTTTCACTCGAATAAGATATATCTAGCATAATGCAGCCAGAACTGCCTGATTGTGTGCCTATCTATTCTGCTGGCAACATGCAGCAGGAACAATTAATTTAGTGCCTAATTGTGTGCATCGGAATCTCAGGTACAGATCAGCTGTTAAAGTTTCAAGTCCAGATAATCTCCCAGTGAGCGGAGTGTGAAACCTGAGCATGATTGTATAACAGCATGGTATAACGTACATACTAAAGCAGTGAATCTCGCATTGGAAAATAATGCGAAAATAGTGTTAGTAGACATTTCGCTTAATATGCAGGCCGACATTTGTACGTATATTTCTGTGATTTGAGGAAGTTGAGGTGCGATATGACCATTTTGCTGTCACTCTTCATTTGTCTGGTATTTACGCGTTGGCGTGAATCTCCAGGTTCTTTTATTTACCTTAGAAAATCCACCTTAGACAAAACAAAGTGTCTGAGAATGAGCGTCATACTCTTCAATGCTGCTAACCATTTTAAATCATTGCATCTAAGGGGATAACGAGGTTTTCACTTCAACTCAGTGCACGTCAGAGATGCAACATGTAAGCTAACTGCCGGTACCTTTCTCTAAAGGCTTCAAAACCCGAAGCAACTCCAAAGTATAGATCTCACCTTGCTCCTTGTATACTGTTTATTACTGAAAGTAACTTCTTCCGCCTGGATTCAGTGGCTCAAACACAACATCCAAGATTGGTGGTGCAGCAGTGTATTTTGAGCAGCAAATCTATTCAAAACAGGTTTTTTTCAGTGCGGAAATCCTGGTGGCGTATTATATTTGTAAATATACTAGCTAGCTGCTTCCATACTTTTGTGTCCGCTCGCGGGCCCCGATGATCAAAGTGGTGCAAGGTCTCCTCAATAAAACTTATCGGTACATACTACTTTAACCTCCAAAAATTAACTTTTGTTTATTCAGGTACGGATAATGAACTGTTCAAATGGCCTCAACTAGATGATGAACTTGTAGAACATAAAAGCGTGCTCAATTTACAGGTCTTGAAGAGCCAGCGATCTCTGAGTTTAAGGATGACTACAAACAGAACCATGGAAAAATGAGTCAAAATGTCACTCACTCAAAGAAGCAACTTATATAAGCCTTGAGTTTTACACATCAGTGGATTGTATAATATCCTTTTCGAACCTTACATTTTCCTTGTGTTTGTTTGCAAACTTTGGGAGCTTTCACATCAGTTAAATTTGAACGTGGTCATTAAAGTTACTGACTGGGAATATGTTACATCCGTATATTAATAGCAAAGTTATTGTAAGAAATTATGACTCCATGGTAACGTCAGGAAGTGTAGTTTATAGAAAAATGAGTAAAGTCGTATTCTGGATTTATACCGTTTAGTAAACCGGGATAGGTTGTAGGTTTTGTATCACAGCTTTGTTTAGAACAACAATGAAATGCGAGTAGCTTAAATGAAATGGCTTGAAAGTTTGAAAAATGACTTGTCCTTGTAAACTAGACTGCTGCGATGTCTTGACCTGGCAGTGTCAGATGACGCTGTAAGAATTTTGCAATGTCTATCTCACTGAATATTCGTGCCTAAACGGCCTACGGGACGGACAAATGCGGGCTCAGTTCATGTAGTTTCATTCTCTGGGCTAGTTTCGTCATAAAATACCTACTGAACAACATAACTCTGTATAAATTTTTGTATTACATAATTGACGCTACGAAACCCCTCAGTTCGTTTATTTATTGCGGGACAATTCCCCTACCAGAGCAATAATATGGTGGGGGAGATTGTGTGCGTTTGCGTCGCTATACATAACGTCTACCGTATTATTAGAATCACACAAAATTTGTCCGCGTTCAAGATTCTTCGTGTGATGGCTAGGGTCGGCAGCGTACCTATCAGTGTCATCAGCTTACCGGATCAACCTACTGGATCGAGCTTCGTTTGAGCAATGTAATCTGTAGCCAAGCTGGTACCCATGGAAGAAAATCAGTTTTAGATGGGTCATCTTTCCAGTCAGGGTTGATCAAGACCATAGTTGAGTATTTGTCAGGTACTTCACAATATTGGTGACTTTTCTCATCAAGCAGAGTTGGCAGTAGTAGGACTTTCTCAATATTCTAGTTGGTTGATATGGCCTATTTCCAACGCAGTTGGCTGCCACTTTAAGGGCATATGTATGCGCTTGAATCCAATTTCAAAACTGGTCGTCCACCTAGTCGCTTGAATCAATTTTCAGGCACCACTGGGCTAAAATGTCGCGTGCCAATATATAAGTAATAGAAGGGTACAAATCCTCAATGTTGTGAGTACTAGCAAAATAAAGCAGGGTACTGGAGTTTTTTGGGCACTTAAATGACGTTTTTAAAGACAAGGAAATGTGGAGATACCTTCAAGATTATCGCAGTGGTTTAGCCAGTTGCTATCAAGCCATGAGGAAAGGCAAAGCTATATTGGTCACTCGTCCCTACTTATCCGATCTATTAAATATCCATATTTGGCACCGTGCAGCTTACGTTTTAGGGTATCCTACAGTGAAGTAGGCAGTTAACTACTGGACTGCCAATGCCATTTCATCTTGTTTACTTCTGCTAGTCTATTTAGCCTTTAGCCATTTGTGTCCATCTATCTAGCTGTCCTGTACATGCCGTAACATACATAGCATACCTCACCAGTCGGATAACTTGAATGGTTGCGACATTTAGCTATAAAGTTTGGGTTGTACCTGTTGAATGAAATCCATCTAGAAGGTTACGGTGCTCATCTCTCATTTCATCTTGGGAAACATCAAAGTTTACCGTTATTAGGGACGTTTTTCACGCCTCAGGTGACAAGTACCAACATTCATTCCATCATGCGACTTCCAGTTGTATATGCTCAGGCACCATTTTTAATGGATTGTTCCAAGATAGCATTTAGAAATTTTACGAACATATTTGGCATTCTGCTAAATTAAAGCACGGCTTCCTAAGTGTGTCAGCATCCATGCATACAACAGAAATGTAAACGATGTAATGTAATGCTAACCTTACCAGACCTTTTTTTCTAGATGATACTGTACCGACAAATTCTACTTCACATCAAACCTCGCCGTTGAAATTCGCCTAGTTTGTAGTACGATCACAAAACTAGTCAATTTCTATAGTGATTTGGCTTTGGTGAAAACCACTTGGTCGGGCTTTTTACCCGGTGGTACACAAGTACGAGCAAACACAGTTCACATGATGTTTTTTGTTTGCCATCGCAGCGGCCACCTGCGTATAGCAGGTAAACAATCAACGAAGTCACATGCCTCGCCAAGTATTTGGCTGTTAGAGCACAGCGGGTGTCATCCTTTAACTCGTACGAATTCCATCGCATCATTGTTTGTTCAGTTCAGCCCAAACAGAATGCGTCGAAGCTCCATGTTTTGTGAGACACTGTTGTAGGTCTCTGGGGATGTAAGAACGGTAACGAACTTGGTCGTTAGTTTGTTCGCCGAGTTTTGCAGTTGGATTGCAGCGCACTATAGCTGTACCTACTTCACAGCATTGCCGACGGGTGGCGTTACTGGTATGTACATGAACCATAATAAATTGATTGCGGTTGTCATACAAGTTTTCCACGTCAATACATAACATAGCTTCAAGCAAACACACAAACAAAAACGTGGGTTTTGCACCAAGTGCCTTTCACATCAAAACAATCGGTTCTTATCCTTGTGGAGTAACCACTAGAGTATCATTAATTAATATTTTAGACTTTCTGTAGAGATGAACGGAGCCACCAGAAGGTATCCACGCAATGTTGTAAAGAATGGTGCAGATGTGTGTCTCGTGTGATACCGAGTTGGCCAGCATGTTCCGACAAGTAAACGATGTTTCGGGAAGAAGTCTAAGGCACACGCCTTCAGCAGCCGGTAGATTGAACTTATTACAAGCCCGGCTTCCATCTCTAAAATACCTCAAGTTCTGTATAGTGAATGTTCCTGCAAACCAGGGTTAAGCTTTATTTCCAACAAGAAGGCCTTGATATGTCACTGATGCGCAGACACCTTGGCAAACGATCTGTGGTATCAATTGACTTCTTGATTCATATGATTTACCACAGCATCTTCACTCAACCAAAGCTTGCATTTTTGCGTGTATCACTTGCGGAAGGAGTTTCGGATATTTTGACTCTCGGGATTATTTCTGGAACCATCAGGTGGAAAGTTTGCCTATTAGATATGTTTTCTAAGGAAATGTTCCCCTTTAAGATGCTCCATGTCTTGGTGCACAAGAAAAACAGTAGTACTTCAAAAAAGGCGTGTACTCTGCTTGCTTTGCACAATCGAATGGATTACAACTGCTCGCGCAAATATAGCTGCAAACTCTCATGACATTTTACTCAAGGTAAATGAGGGTAAATTTATGAAGTTATCTTTATCATGACCTTCCCAATACAGAACAGACCGGGAGACAAAGGACGCACAGAAGAAAATGGGTGAGCCTCACCATGAACAAAACAACCAATACTGGGGTGGTCATAAAAGTACTTCATCAAGTATAACCCCGGCATGAAAGCATTCGCCGGTATCTTGGAACACTTTGCTAACTGATGCCTGTCTAACGTGTCTTAATAGAATTTTGCTTCCAGTTCTCTTCTACTTGTGATGCAACTAAAAAGCGCTATCTGGTAAAAATATCTCCGATTAGTTTTGAGTTTGCATCTTACAGAAAGGCTAAGCAGAGTACGGCGTAAGAATTTTTATTATTTTTATTTCCGCACTGAGTGTTGGTAGTAATAAACGGATTGCGCATTACATACATGCTTTTCTCGTACAATCTCTTCAATATAAGTTGAGCCACAAGATTTCTGACATGAATTTCTTGAGACAGACATATTTATTCACTCTTACTTTAGGAGCTATGCACAGAAAATGACATTTCTTGGCTATAGATATTCCTCAGCGTGAATACCACGCCCGTACGCTTCATTTTTAA